ATATATATATATATATATATATATATATATATATATATATATATATATATAGAGATTTATATGTATATGTATATTATATTATATTATATATAGTATGCAAATATTTAGACGTGTGTCCAGCTGCACTCAGTTCGTCCGTCTGCCCGTCTGATGCGTCTTTCTCTCTCTCTCTCTCTCTGCCTCTTTTTCGCTGCATCTGCAGTTAGCTGGTTCCGGTATATCTGGACGCCACCATATCGATCGGCCTACTTATAGTCGCCATATTGTGTCCTATATACGGGGCACACATACACACTCTTACATATATACATACATTTATACAAGTATACATACATATTTACATACATACTAAGCACAACATACAAAAGGTGCCGCATACAACGTCGATGTTCCAAGGTTCCCAATTGTGGTTGTGGCTGTTGTTTCGTTATCGCCTCGCACAACTTTTGCAAATGACGTCAAATGTTTCGGTGCGAGGAGCACAGCAGTAATGTACAGACAGAGAGAAAGATAGGGGAGAGAGAGGGCGGGAAGCAGAGCAAAAGAAATTTCAGTATACAGTGATCGCTCGCTTATAAAGGAAACTTCCGCTAATTACAATTGTTCCCAAAATAGAAACGTAATTTCAAATACGTGCGCTATGCATAGATAAAGACATTTTCCATTGAATTTATAGACATTGTATGTGTATATGTATATGTATGTAATATCCCTATCAGCAGTAATGATCTAATGATCTAATAATAATAAGGCGTCTGTATAGAAATACAGTTCTCTATCCATCTAGTATCTTTTTATCGACCTGTCTATCTATCTTCGATTCTTCCTTGGACTTATATTAAATTATCTATCGGCCGACCTAGTTCTCTATTGATCTGTCTAAATTGGACTATCTGGTCTATCTATTTGTCCATTTCTATTGCTCCATTTGTCTTTTGCCCTCGACATACATATATAATTACGCTGTCTATATTTCAAATTGTGTATGTATCCATCTGGATAATATAATTATCTTAATATAATATAATTATCTTTCAGATTTTCTCTTCTATCTATCTAATTTCTGTCTAAATATCATTTCTATCTTTCGTTTTCTGTATCATTCCTATTATATCTTATTACCTTTATTCAACAATTCAATATATTTCTATATCTTAATTTCTAATTATCTGTCAATGAAACACTCTTACTGTGTATCTTGATTTCTATCCATCTTTCCATCTTCTATTAATATTTCTATCTGTCTATATATATTTCTATATATTGACCCTTCTATTCATATTTTCTTTCTCATCTTTCTTCTCATTTTCTAGCTGTCCATATTTCATCTATCAATCTGTCTATATTCTTAATACCCGTCGATTCAGCATCCAGCTGTATTATTTTCTATTCATCTTTCAATATTCTTAATATAGTCTACAATATAGCTTTCTATTTACCTATCTAGCATCTTTGTATCTACTTCCCTATCTAGTTTTCTGCCCATTTATCGTCTTGCAAGAATATCAGATATACCCTAGATATAACTATATCTATCTGAAACCTTATTGTAACACGTTCTCTCTTTTTCATGCATTAAAACATATATCCGCTAGATTCCTTTACAAATCGAAATCCTGGAGTTTGGTTCAGTTTAGCGAGCGATCACTGTATGTGGTATTCAGTGCTGTTGTTGACTCAACATGTATGTTTGTGTGTAACTGGATAGCAGTGTTTCCATTCTTGATACTCTATTGTTGTTGCTGTTGGCATTACCATTTCCATTATTATCATAATGCGGCTGTTGTTCGCTTTTGCCTTGCCCCCGACTCGTTTAGTTCCGATTTTTGTTGATGTTACGTATTCCAATTTTCTTGTTTTGCGGTTAAAGAGTTCACACACATGCACACACCGCTGCGCATTTATATCTAAGGTGGTTTTGGTGGTTTTGCAAGCGAGCCGCAGATGGTGGTGCCGAGATGCCAGCACGCTCCTGCAATGCCTACTTAGATGCGTGCGCTTCGTTTGTTGTTGCTCTCGCATACATATGTATTAAATTTAATCAATTTTGATTGATGTGTGCGTCGATGCAGCAACCACAGCAACCAACGACATCGACAGCGACAACCTCAACCACACTTCGACAACAAACCCAAAAAGAAAGAAAAAGAGGCACAATTCTCTTTCAGCTGCATTTGCAATAGAGCCACGCCGAATCGCTGATGCGCTGGCAGCAATATTGCTTAGATGCGACGATAGATGTCTAGAATCTATTTTTCGATTTGTCATGCATAGAGCATAAGTTTGTCTAAGATATGAAGCCTTTATGAGAGAGAGAGAGAGAGAGAGAGAGAGAGAGAGTAGGAAGCTGTTTAAGGCAGATAAAAAGTCTGAAGAGAGCTCTCACACTTCGTCCTTTTCCTCTCTTTCTTTGACTCACCTTCTCTTTATCCTTCCATCTCACTCCCTCTTTGTCACCTTTTCAATTAGCCTCTTCTGATCTTCCGATCGGCGCATTCTTTGTAAAATTGAAAAGAGAACAGAGACTTTCTCATTTTTTCCTATTGATCGAATGAAAGAAAAGTATTTGACTTGATAGAATAAATCTATAAGATCTTGGTATTTTCCTAAGTTAGGGATCTGATGTATATCCCTTTCAGGTAGACCTCAACTTGCAAGTCTTGAACTATCAAATTCATGAATTTAATACAATCATTGCTTTCCAAGATCAAGCTCTCTGCCGACACCTAAAACCTACATTTGAAAGGGTATTCAAAGAGTTGTTATAGTCGCATCGACGCCTATACACATTGGACTGTCTGTGGGTCGTTTGGTGGGTCAATTGTGGTTGGCTAAGGCGCGAACAGGTTCGCAAATGCGCAGAATTCAATCAAATCGAATGCAGCAACAAGTAAAAAGCGACAGGCGACAAGAAACAAGAAACAGGCAACAAGCGACAGGCGACAGGCGACAAGCGACAGCAACAAGCATTGATTCATAGATTTTTGGGTATTTCTGTGCAGTTGTTGTGCCCGGTTGAGACAGTGCGTCTGATGCGTAAGTGGACGTCGCGTGGACGCCCGTCACATGTCGTGTAAAATGTCCGTGTGCGCACTCGCACGCCCGCCGCAAGCAACAGCCGCCGTAAGCAGTGCGAATAACGTGAACGGGCAAGCAGGTGCAGCGACGTCGCCAGCGACGACGCCAACGACCCCAACGACGCCGCCAACGCCGCCGCCATCGCCGCAGGTGCGCATCTACGAGGACTTTGACAGGATGAGCGCCAAGGAGGTGTACTACAATGAGGCGGGCAAGAAGGTGACGGTCAAGCTGCTCCACTTCCCGGACGTTCTGCCCGAGGACATAGCCAAGCTGCGCTTCGATGACGAGGACGATCAGAATGCCGACGATGCCGACGTGGACGACGACGATGGCGTCGATAGCGATGCAGGTCGCTCTGCCAATAGCAGCCACAGCACCGGCATCGGCATCGGGATCAGCAAGACCCCGCCCACCGCTGACAGCGACGATGGCGACAGCGAGACCGAGAAGCCTGACCTGGATGGCAGCGGCAGCGGCAATGCCACAGGCACCGGCGCCATCAAGAAGACCTTCCGGCGCAAGCTGTCCGGCAACAACATGCAGCCGCGCAAGTGCAGCCTGGCCTTTGCCCAGGCGCATGGCATCAAGCAGCGCGCCGAGAAGAAGCTGTCGATGCCCACCATCAGCATCACGGCCAATCCGGGCGAGCATGTCAGCCTGGCAGGCGGACGCAAGCTCTCGCAACAGCACTCGCTGCCCATGACGATGATGACGGTGACGCCGCCGCGTCGCAGTCACTCGCCGCTGGGCCAGAGTCTCTGCCCCGGCTACATACAGTACTCCAAGTCGCTGCTGGAGGTGCCCATGCCAAGGGATTATGGCTACGCCAGCAGCGATGATCTGAGCTCTGAGTGGGACTCGGATGTATCCACATCGGCGGCCTCGTCCGCAACTGCATCGGGCTCCGGCTCGGGCACTACGGGTGCATCCTCAGCGAGCGGCACGAAGAAGGTAAGAGGACAGCTTGCCGCTCTGCGCTTATCCTGCATTATCCGGTGCATTCATGTCACAGTCTTCATCTTTAAAGTGTTTATCCAGTGCTATCCGCAAGCTATCATCTGCCATCTATTTGACATCCAGCATTCTCCAATTTAAATATATTTGCATCTGCTGCGTAGCTGAGCACATCGATCGATGTCATTGGCAACGCTTGTGAAGTGTATCCGGCGCAATTGGATAATAAACAGCACTGATTTCATGCATAAACACCTTAATTAAGTGCTGATTTGATAAATACCAATCGTTTATCTATTCGCCTTTTAAGCATTGACGTCATTAGCCACACGTCAAGATCAGCCCGCATCCGCCACGATCCGGCGTTCTCCGGCGCATATCCAACACTAATGCTCTAAGTTTGCGCTCACTTAAATGACATTGACCCTAGATTTTGTTGTATCCGCTGCAACTCGCCACTAGTGTTATCTTTGTGTTATCCGATTCAATAAAACATTTCCGTGACGCGATACATTCGGACCTAATGAAACTCTTTTCAAGAGCTCATCGGCATTGAGACATATTAAGACATATCCCCTCTTATCCGCAGCTTATCCGGCACTTACTAGACAATTACAGAGTAGTTATCTGAGTACGTAAGCGTTAGTGTAGATCTCACAGCTGTTACTCACTTGGAGAAATATCCAGCGTCAATCGCGACTTATCCGGCCGGCACTTATCACTTAAGTACTAGTTACGTAAGCATCGACGTCATTATAGATCTTATAACTGGTCCCATTTCATGCCATAAGCTTTTATCGCCTTGTATTCTTAATGATGCCTGAATAGAGAGGCGATTCCATTGGAAGTGCTAACAATTCACGTTTTCGCTAAAACGTGTTATTGGATGAACTATTACAATAGTCACTCGATGACGTAACGGTCCTAATGCCTTTCTTTTTAATGTAAATTCTGTGTATACTAATTAATTTGTTTGTTTCTTATCTTTTCACAGAGCTCTGGCTGGCGGAAAATACGAAACATTGTGCAATGGACGCCCTTCTTTCAGACGTACAAGAAGCAGCGCTATCCATGGGTACAGCTGGCGGGCCATCAGGGCAACTTCAAGGCCGGTCCCGAGCCGGGCACCGTCCTCAAGAAGCTCTGCCCCAAGGAGGAGGAATGCTTCCAGGTGCTCATGCAGGATGTTCTGCGTCCATATGTGCCCGTCTACAAGGGTCAGGTGACCAGCGAGGATGGCGAACGTAAGTCATATAGTTTCGAGAATCCATACATTGATTGACTGACTGAAGCTGACTAAATCTAACAGATTGATTGACTAAGACAGACTGAAGTCGAATAGATTGGTTGACTGAATGACTTGCGTCTAGTTGACAAATCGTATGATTAGAAAACGCATATTCTTTATGATTGACTGGCTAACTAATTATACCCTGAACCCATTGAAAATGGGAAATCAGGGTATAATGTTTTTGTG